GGTGCCGCTGGTTCATGAGAGAGGTGTGTATTGATCAGTGTCTGTAGAGGTGTGCCAAGGTTTCTGAGAGAGGTGTGTCTCTACAGTTGTGTGCTCACTTTCTGCAGAATCAACTCTCTTTCCTTTCTGTAGGAGTACTCCCGGTCTCTCCTTCCTCTGTCCCCCCTTCTCTCAGCGTCTCTCCTAACCGCCGGAGAAGAGAATGGGTTTCTGGTCCGAGTGTTATTTCACTGGCGGGGGACTGACAGCAGGGGGCGCTGTGTGACTCTGCACGCATTCAAAGCAACCCAAGAACTGAGGGCTGCCTGTCTCACAGAGGTAAAAAGAAAAGCACGCAACGTTGTCTGAACGTGGCTTTTGGGTCTGTGATTTTGCTACTCTGTCAGCACTCACCTCTTCTCTGCCTCAGGCTCCACTGGGGGTGTGTGTGGCCTCCCTCCCTCTCCCCAGCTCGTGGCTGAAGGCCCGAGACCCCGTCCTGCCCGCGCAGAAACACACACCGGCGCACAGACACAAGCCAAGGCGCCACAGAGGCAGCGCAGCTAGCGGCTCCAGCCCCATGGACGCCCAAGTGCAGCTCTATTACTCCGACGACGGCCCTCCTGCGCTAATGGACGGGGCGCCACCTAGCTGTTTGGAGGCCAGACTGGAGCGCTCTCAGAGCAAGCTGTATTACACGGGAGCAGTGAGGCTGACGGGGGGCGAGAGAGCCAGGAACACAATGAGGAATGATTGGCAGCCTCCTGGCTCCTGTGTTGGGGCCCAGGACCGAGCTGGTTCAGACAAACAGGAGGATGCCTCCTCTCTGCAGCAGGCGGAGGAGGAGCTCTGGCTGGATCCCGATGTGTTCATTAGATACCAGAGGGGGCCGGCGAGGTTCAGCCAGCCGGTAGCCGTCTCGGTCCGCCTGCGGTCCAACTTCAGCGCTGATTTCGTGGTGATAAGGTGCTGGACGTGCTTTATGTTTTCAGTGATGTAAAGTAGCTACTCTCTCTCAGTGCAGTGTTAATGTCCTGTAGTGTCCAGTCAGTGTCTGGACTGTATTAACCCCTCTCTCTCAGTGCAGTGTTAATGTCCTGTAGTGTCCAGTCAGTGTGTCTGGACTGTACTAACCCCTCTCTCTCAGTGCAGTGTTAATGTCCTGTAGTGTCCAGTCAGTGTGTCTGTATTTACACCTCTCTCCCTCTGTTGTCTTTGTCTCTACTGTATTAACCCTTCAAAAAGAGAGGGGCTAATACAGTACAAAATATTAACCCCTCTCTCTTGCTTTATTCTTCAAAGGTTAAAGGTTAAGAAAGGGCAGATGACAGTTTTGACAGTTCCAGTCATGACCTCTGGCCTTTGGGTCGTTGCCATGGAGAAATCTGTGGGAGCAAAACAGGAAACAACATCACTGATCTGCCATCGCCTGAAGGGACTCACCCAGACACTCAGGTACAGGTGCAGAGGAGCAGTTTAACAGTCCGCTGAGCTACTGAGAACCCTGCACAGCTGTCAGCCGATGAGCTCCTGTTATGGAAGGTTTAATTGGCCCCACACATGCAATTAATCTTAACGATCATCAGAGAGGAGAGCAGCCCCAGCTATGGGAATATTCCAATACAGTACTTAATCCTCTACTTGTATATATGTATTTTTTTAACTGTACATGTCCGTAGTGTATCTGCAGTCAGTCAGTGTGTTTCCTGTTTGACCCCCCTCACTCTGTGTGTGTGCGTCTCTCAGTTCCTCTCTCTATCAGGAGGTGGCCTGCATCTCTCTCCAGTGCGAAGGGGACTCTGTCTCCAAGGGTGCGGTCAGTCGCAGGGTGTTCTGGAGGGTGGAGTACTCAGGACACAATAACCCCATGCCACCTCTGGGGGGCACCGCATCCTTGTTTACCTTCTCCCACAGAGACATAGTGGGCATTGCACCGATCACCGAGGTACTGTACCGACGCTCTCCGATGGTGCTTGTCGGTCCTCCTGTTTTCGCACCTTGCTATGTATCGGTCTCCTGTCAGTCATTAGAAGTGTCCAGTAGAAATGCCCACATGAGCACCACAGGGACTGAAATATCAGCCCACCACTCGTGGCCCTTGTGGCCCCATGGAGATCTATTATTGGGTCTGTTCTGGCCCGGGAGGAAAGTGCTCCACAGGGCCATTGTTCCTTTTCATAATCAAAATGCTCAGTGCCTGAAACTGAAACCCACTTCCTGTTGTGATCTCAGATTTCTCCTATTAACATGCTGAAACATCAGTATTAATTCTCTAGGGAGACAAGAGTTCTGTTTTTCACAGTTGCCCATGTATACCGACATGATACCCATGTGTTAAGGCCAGTAGGTGTCCACCGCTGCAGGAATTTCTTAGGTGCTCCATTGCCATACCTTGTCTATGACACCTTTGAGTGATTTTCTGCCTGGTGTTTCATTATGTCTGTGTTTTAGTGTGCAGTAAGGTGAAGTCTGCCTGTTCTCCCTTTTGGATTAGAAGTTCCCTTTTCAGCAACATAACAGACAGTGCTGTGAGCCAAGGTGGTGCCAGTTTGTGTTTGCTTTCCCACACAGACCGCTTCTCTGATCAACACGGCCATTCTCACTGGCCAGCCCGTGTCACTTCCTGTGACCGTCCTTGCTGTGGGGCATGATGGGAAGGTGTCTGACGTCACCAGTGCCGTCACCTGTCACTCTGCTGATGAGGACATCATTAAGGTCCTGTTAACTATATGACTGTTCAGTGGCTGCTGACGCACTAGTACTAGAAGTAGCAATAGTGGTACAAGGGGTAGTATGTTTACCTACAGGAACAGTTAGGTAGTAGTTCATAGCAGGAGTAAATCAGAAATAGATCATCCCTGGTACACCAGCATGCCAGCTTGCTGATTCCAGTGCCAGTGTAAGATCTGGATGAAGCACATGGCCATTATGTCTTAAATCAGTAGGGTCTCCAAAAATAGGCCATCACTATTAAATTCCTGCACTCTGCATGACCTCTGTGTCATCAGCACATTCTTCTGGGGCAGAGAAAAGCACGAAGTCCCGTGGCATTACCCCAGAACGAGTTGCTAGGCTGGGAGGAGTGAGGATCTGTCCATCACACTCACACCAGCTGTTATACAGACCACACCCTGCCAGCCAACACAGTCAAACCGAGGGACTGGGGTGTGGGAGTGTGGAACAGGCCGTCCAGCCATGTTGCTGAAGGCGATACCCTGGCTTCTTTCAAGAAACAGCTGGAGATCTTCCAGTCAAAGCAGAAAGCACGTCTGTACACCAAGGTTTAGAATGTAAAACATGTTACCAATGAGAGGAGGCCCAGAAACCCATTTCGTTTTTACTAGTTACTTGACTGAGGACACCCTCGTGGTTTTCATTGTTCAAGGCTAGAAGTTTGTGGGAGTCTAGAAAAAGCCGAGTTTTAAATGCGAACTTTGGGTCAATTAACTACTCGCATACAGGCAAGATGGAGCAAATGCCTTCTTCTTCTTGTTTGAAATCTTTCTCATCTTCCTATGTCACTTGTTTTGTGACTCCGCTCCTGTTCCGCTATTGGCAGGTGTCAAGTGACTGCTCCACCCTCTTTGTAGACGGGAGCGAATCAGGGCGAGGGGGCGTGTGTGCAGGGGTGGAGTTCTCCCTGGGCTCGTTCTCCGCCTCCCTCTGCCTGTCGGTGTGGGTTCCACAGCTTCCCCTGACCATTGCACTGTCCGACTCCCAGCTCAGTCAGATAGACGGCTGGACAGCCCACACTGAGACGGGGTTAGTGTCTGTGCCCTGAGGCTGTACTGTAGAGCACTGTGATGGCTGTGCTGTAGTGTGCCTGTACTGTAGAGCACTGTGATGGCTGTGCTGTAGTGTGCCTGTACCGTAGAGTTCTGCGATCTGTATGGTCTGTGCTGCGTTGTATCTGTTCGTCGTGTAACAGCCAGTGAAGTAATTTTCCACCATTTCTCTCAGTTGTTCTCCAGTGTACCAGCGGTCCACAGTTCAGATCTGGGCTCAGTTTGCTGCTATGCCAGTGGATGCCCGACGTCAGGTGACGTACCTGCTGGGCTCCCCTGACTGGTTTGTGGATGTGACAGCGCTTGCCCGTCACGGGCTGAGAGTGGAAAACCCCCGAGTTGCCAGTCTTGATGAGCACGGCATTCTGATTGGTTTAGAGCCAGGAGTGACATCACTGCAGGTAATTGTGACGTTGTGTCAGATAATTTGAGATACAGGGCAATGATTCTTAATAACAGCTGTATACTCGTGCACCTATTTCTGAGTGTTTGTCCGGCCAGCCCTCTCCTATGACCAGTTTGATCTATAATGGGCTGGGGCTCCGTCTGTCTCTCTCTCTCCAGGTAGTGTCCAGCCAGTGGGACAGTGTGCTAGGGGAGTCAGAGGTCACAGTATCAGCTGACCCTGTGAAACTTGGTGACCTCAAGGTCCAGCTAGTGAGTGGGCTGACCTTGTCAATCACTGCCAGTCCCTCCCACCCTTCTGTCATCACAGCAACTGTCTCAGCACAACACATCCTGTACACATATGGACAGGTGAGTGTGCAGTGTATGGACAGTGCAGTGTTAATGTCCTGTAGTGTCCAGTCAGTGTGTCTGGACTGTATTAACCCCTCTCTCTCAGTGCAGTGTTAATGTCCTGTAGTGTCCAGTCAGTGTGTCTGGACTGTATTAACCCCTCTCTCTCTTTTCCTGCAGGAAGCCTCTCTCAGCATATGGCTACAGTTCAGTGATGACACACTTGCCCCTTTGGCTTATTACGACGCCATCTCCTATTCCCTGCGCCTTACCTCACTGGCTGAATCTGTGGTGTCCGTGGTAACCGCTCCTCCTGGCTCTCAGCCGTCTGTCCTGCCCCAGGTGGTTGCTCGGGGTGATGGGGGCGGGCCTCTGCTGAGGGCGGAGCTTCTCCCCAGGGCTTGTCCCAGCCAGCCGCCCAGCACTGGGGAAGTGGGTGCAGGTCTGCCCTTGGCCCGCGGGTCTGGCTGGGTCAGGGTGAACCTTGACCACCCCTCCCGGCCGGCTGGGGCCGAAGACATGGATTTCGAGCTCCTGGAGATTTCCGATTTTTTCTTAGAACCGGATTCAGAGATGGATCAGGAATCCTTTGCTATTCCAGCTAATGACAGCCACCCAGGACATACGCAGAGGGAAGAGAGCGCTGTGCTGAGTCCCCATCACGTGGAGAACGGAGTGTTTGCACCAAACGGTTCCGATGTACCTTTGGTGCCAAGGGAGGGGAAAAAGCAAGAAACAGAGGAGCTGAAGGTGGGGCTGGCAGCTCTGCTCTCTCTGCTCTGCCTCTCTGCCCTCCTCTTCCTCGTCAACTGCGTGCCCTGCACCCTGAGACAGACAGGAAGGGATAGAGGGACAAAGAGGAGCCTGACAGAGGGAGAGGGTCAGAGAGAGAATGAGGAGGCTGAGGACCAGCCACACAACCCTTAAGACTCTGAGCGAGAGAGATAGAGAGAAACTGAACACACTGTACATTAACACTGCACTGAGAGAGAGGGGTTAATACAGTCCAGACACACTGACTGGACACTACAGGACATTAACACTGCACTGAGAGAGAGGGGTT